GCGCTCTTGGATCTAAGGGCAGCATGGATGTGGTAGAGTAGGCAGAGAGTGGACAACCTCTGCAATTTTAACATTCAGACCTAACCAGAAGGCACCTTCCCTTCCACACCAAGTGGGACTTTCTGCAGACATGGAGAGTATCATCAACCTCTGCTAGTCAGTGAATCTCGAGAATCCAGGTGGGAACATCCTGGTCTTTCAGGAGTCAAATACTGAGCTCTCAGCCTTCTGTTCCAGAGATGGGCTGCTCTGATTCCATGCCAGCTGTGTCCATCCTATCAGGGCACAGGCACTGAGAAGCAGTTGGAAATCTGGCCCTCCACGGGGAGCTGTGCCAAAGCCAGCAGACTCGCATTCACACTCCCTCTGCACCTACTCCTGTTCTCCATGTTCTCCATCCTCTGCGCCTCCACAACAGGCATGGATGGGCCTTTCATCCCCAGTGCCCCAGGAAAGCTTGACTTTGCTTTTGTACATGGCTAGAATTAAGAGGTTGTCGACCAGAGAAGGAAAGTAAAAAAAAAAGGGAAAGAAAGGAAATGAGTGGCCACTGCCCTGAGGAGGTAAGCAGGAGAGAACAGGTGGGGAAAAATGGCAAAGGGGCTCTCAGAGGAAGGTAGAGGGTCACTGACAACTACTCCCTTTCTGCTCTGCCCCCCTGCAGGCCCCAGAACACCAAACGTCCTTTGCAACTTCAAGACACTTGCAACAACATGCACCAGTTTTAAACTGAAACCCCAAAATGTCCCTGTTACTGGCTGACAGAACCTGTTTTCTGGACGGCTTATCTGCTAAGGGTAGATAGGAGGGAAACTGTTTTAGGATGTCTGTCAAGACAGTTGACTCACTCATAAATCTTCAGAATCAGAAAGGAAACACCCTGGGAGGCACAGGCCAGGGGAGTGGCAGCAGCTGCAGGCTTTGCTGACTTGGCTGTGAAGAGGAAACTCCAGCACTATTCGCTGCGGAACAGGCTCCCTAGCTCCTGTTGCTGGTTTCATGCCATGAAAAGAATACCTCAGAAGAAAGCGAGACTTTAGGCTGGGCACAGTGGCTCATGCCTGTAATCCCAGCACTTTGGGAGACCGAGGAGGGTGAATCACCTGAGGTCTGGAGTTTGAGACCAGCCTGGCCAACATAGTGAAACCCTGTCTCTACTAAAAATACAAAATAATTAGCCAGACATAGTGGTGTGCACCTGTAATCCAGGCTACTTGGGAGGCTGAGGCAGGAGAATTGCTTGAATCTGGGAGGCGGAGGTTGCAGTGAGCCAAGATTGCACCACTGTACTCCAGCCTGGGTGACAGAGTAAGACTCTGCACCCCCCCCCCCAAAAAAAAAAAGCTCTAGAAAGATGGGGCTATCTCTGCTCTGATTCTTTTCTTTGAATAATATCTTAGTGCAACATCCTGCTGAGATCACTTAAGGAAACAGCTTATGTTTGCTTTCATTTTTCTCATTTTCCAAATACTAGTCAGTAGTCTCTCCAACAAAAACCAGGTAATCAGGGAGCTTTCTCCTCTCATCAAAGGTAATCCCAATGACTGAGTAGTTCCTACACTGCCTGCCGAAGGCTGTGATTTGTTTTAAACATGGAAAAATAACACTTTGTATTTATGGGGTGTTGGAGGGGAGGAGGGTTCATATGTAGAGGGAATCAGCATGAGGGTGTTTTCTCTCATTCTGTTTCCCTTGCTCTCATTTATATCCTCCAAAGGCTTAATTATGGCACACAGCACAGTGCCTCAATACCTATCACATGGGAGGTGCTCAATAAGTATTTACCGGATAATCATACGAAATGACAAGAGATCAGCGAAGGCTCGGCCCAGCTCTTTCCCTGCCTAACCCTGCTAGCCTTAGGTAAGAAACAGACCCATGAGCTGTATCCTTTTAACTCAAAATCCTGGGATTACTAAACTGCATTTAGATATTGTTTGAGAAAAACCAAAGGGAGTCCTGGCAATGGCCCTGTGACTATTGGCGACAGACAGGTGACAAGAGCAATGGTCAACATTTAGAGCAAAAGAACATCACATGGAGAACTGTTATTCCATACCTGAAACAATGAAGGGACACACAATACATCCAGGAGATACTAACAGGTTTTCTTTTTTTGTGTGTCTACATTACAGATTACAAGAGCAGCTTTACTTAAAACACGTTTTGCTGAGCAGAAACAAAAACTGTAAGAAAACATATAGTCCACTTCAGAGTTTCCCACTGTGCGGATTTCTTTCTCTTGTTGCAATATGACTGGTGTTTTTAGGTTTAGTAACTGGACTAAGTTTGGCACGATGTGGAGAGTAAAGAAAACCTAATGTGCAGCCACTATGCAAACACCAAAATGCCAGTCGCCTTTCTATGATACCAGGTGAAAGCCAAATTCAGACATTCCTGGCTTCAGAGCCTTCAATGCATGAACAGATAAGGTGTCTTACTGAAGAAATATGTAAAGGCCGTTTTGACATCAAACAGAAACAAAAATGGAGAATATCATATTCTATTTTGATTGGCAGAGGCAATCAGAAAGTATTCCCCTGGACTGCTTTGGAAGTGATCCCAGCATTTAGAAAGCTGTGCCCTCATCTCTTTGCTGGAAAAGCTTATCAGTGGCATTTTGGACTCTCCCTTCTGTCACTACATTTCTTTTCCCACCTCCCCTTTGATCTCTTAAGGTATCTTGAAAAGACAACTAAGCAGTTTTTGGTGAAAACTTGAACTCTGATTTGGTGAGATTTGTCTATTTGCCAATATAAGTAAAATCACTGAAAAATTGTTTCTGAAAACCTACATATAATACTTAAGGCCATGTTTCAAGAAAATAATGGAATAAACAGGAGAGCTGTAGGGTAATACTGCGATCAGAGAGTCTTCTAACCTAAGCGTGTTTATTGGTCAGGGTGGGGCCTTTTCCTGGATGGGCAATGGTAACTGTCAAACCTGCAGTGAACAGAGATATTACACAAGATGCTGAGATATTGGCAGGACAGACAACGCAGGCACTGTGCTTTCTGGCCTGGTCCATGTGGGCTTCCCAAACAACCTCCTACACTCTTTTTAGGCTTGTCTATTTCCTAATTTTTCAGTTTATAAATTAAACCTATTTAGTCCTTGTGAAAATGAGTTGAGGCTGCCGGTGGCTCACGCCTGTAATCCCAACACTTTGGGGGGCTGAGGCAGGCTGATCACTTGAGGTCAGGAGTTCAAGACCAGCCTGACCAACATGGTGAAACCCTATCTTTACTAAAACATATATAAATTAGGTAGGCATGGTGGCATGTGCCTGTAGTACCAGCTACTTGAGAGGCTGAGGTGGGAGAACTGCTTGAACCCGGGAGGCGGAGGTTGCAGTAAGCCAAGATCGCACCACTGCACTCCAGCCTGGGTGACAGGGCAAAACTCCATCAAAAAAAAAAAAAAAAAAAAGATGAAGCTATTTTCATTACTGTGTTCTAGAATGCTGGAGAGCACACTAATCCCAATGCTTTACTTTGTGCATGGGGAAAGTGAGAACCAGAGGTGTTCAATGACTTTTAGTCTCCCCAGAAAGATCTGGGTCCCTGTACTGCTTAGTGGTGAAGGTCAGGCTAGGTAGGGCCCATCTATCGTGTCTCCCAGGTCTGTACTCTGGTGTGAGGTGACTCAGGCAGCAAGGATTGAATGTGAGTTGGGGGCCTTAAGACACAATACTTGGGACAGAATGTGGTACATACAGAATTTACAGTCTGAAGCAGTTGTTTTTCCCTACTGAGAAGATTCTGTGATAATAATGGAACTTGGGAGTGTTCTGGATTGATTCCAGAGTAATAGGGAAATTTTTAGTTAGAAAAGGAGGTAGAAATAAGTGGATGATTTCCTAGGTTTTCATTTTTGCACAAATTTTCATTTTCCTTCTACTTTAGATGAAATGAGATGCCAGTTGCATATCTGGGTGCAAATGGCCTGCTACACTGATACAGCTGAGAGTTTCTATTTAATATCCTGGCTGTTTCTTAATCTTTAGCTAAATCCAGAGCAAGCTAGACAGGCCACACCACATACTTTGGAAATGATTTGAGCTCTCTTTGAAAATCAAGGTGATGAACAATCTCAAGGAGGCAGGGAGGAGTGCACAAAAGGTGGGAGAGGTGGTGACCAAGAAGGTTTGTGACCAGACTGCCCGAGAGTTTAGGAAAGATTCCTCTTAGGCCACCAAGGATGCTTGGATTAGGTAACAAGTAGGCCAAGAATGGTCCTAGAGCAGGGGACACCGGATTGCAGGTCTGATGAAGTAAGGTTTTGCTGGTTTATCCCATGCTGACCCAACCCAGAGTTCAAATAAAATTCTGAATAACTGTGCTCTGCAACTTGGGAGATATTTTATGCATTTAGACCCTAGAGCAGACATTAGAGATATTTTAAAAAGTAAAAGTAGTCTAGTAAGCAAAGTTAATTATCACAGAGGACTAGAGACAGCGATACTCATGCACATTTCTATTTTTCTTTGGATGGGCTGATGGAGATGCACTCCTTGGTATTGCAGTTATTTCTGCACATGCTGCATTCAGCTAAAAGATCTGCTCAGGTCCCCAAATATCTTTTTTTTTTTTTTCTTTTTTGAGATGGAGTTTTGCTCTTGTTGCCCAGGCTGATGTGCAATGGCATGATCTCGGCTCACTATAACCTCCGCCTCCCAGGTTCAAGTGATTCTCCTGCCTCAGCCTTCCGAGGTCGGGAGTTCGAGACCAGCCTGACCAACATAGAGAAACCCCATCTCTACTAAAAATACAAAATTAGCCGGGCGTGGTGGTGCATGCCAGATGTCTTTTTTAAGAAGACAAATCAGGGATAGATAGGTGGGAAAATGAGTACATATGGAAGAAGAAAAACATACAGGGTACTTTCTTGGATTGTTTGACTGCTGTCTTTGTTCTCCAATAAAATGATAGGAGGCAGAAGCGAGAGAAAGGTGTTTCTTTCCCTGCACTGTTGGCATCTTTCAAATGCATCTTGTCTAGTCTTCTAGACACCTTTGAAGTTTTTGGTTTGGGTTTTCCTGATGTTATAGCCCTGATCACAGGTCCCCAGGGAACCACCCTCTTCCCACTGTCCCCAACACCAGTCTGTTCCCCTCTGCAGATCTGAATTACTTCACCGGGAAGTAGATTAATGGCTTATGTTAATGAAAGAAGCTTTTCACTTAGTCTGAGCTCTACAGGGATCATTAGGAAGGGGAGGGGGAGGCAGGGGGGCCTCAGGGGAGTTAGGACATCTCTGAATATAATGATTAGCGGAAACAAAAGCTTTCCCTTCCTAGAGGCCCCCCCACCCCAGCTGTGGCTCCTCTGAAAATGCCTATAATAAGTAACAAGGATAACCCTCTAACAAGGCAGTTAAAAAAGGAATATTGTTTAAATATGGGATTTATTCCTGGCTTCTGGTCATTGGCTGCAAGTCTACAAGGAGGCTTCAGATTTCAAAGATGTGTAAAAAGGACAAGCCTGGGGGAAGGGGAGCCGGAGGGGCGAGAAGGTCGTGTAGCCGACAGCTGGCCCGTGGGAATGTCCTGGCTGACCTCTTTTTCCAAGCCCAGGCAGATTCCAGAGGTAAAATGAGCAGCCAAACAACCACAGGGAGATGGACTGTCTGTGAGAGGCCCCTCAGGAGTACAGGCGGGCTGTGATTTTACAGGGAGCCAGGCGTGCACTGAGCAGGGGGTCAGCCCTAGGGAAGCTAGAGGGACAGACTCTCTTTGGTGATACCAGCTGGGAAGCTGAGTGCCAAGTGCGGGGCAGGTGGGATGGGGGTCCTAGGGGACCAGTCCCACAGGAAAGAGGTACCAGAAAGAGGTACCATTTTGTATTGCCAAATGGCTCTAAGTGTGAATTTCTTCCTAATTTGCAATTGACAATTTAGCTATCCACTGGCAATCTCTAGACTAGAGACAGTGTGGGTAAGTGGCAGAACCAAGTAGGCAGACAGTTTTTAAGAAGCAGCTTTCTTTCTTTGAATCTGCTGTCTGGCAAGACCAAGGGCGGGCTGAAGGGGTGGGAGTGGTCAGTGGGGGCAGAAGCTCTCGCTCTGATCTCTGATTTTCAACCATTTTGAACCACTGCCACAATCACATACACTGTCATTGGTCCTTTTTCCTCACACTCTCCAGAGGTTTAATTGGGCTTTCTGACAGAAATCTTGCTTATGCAGCTCAATCTGATTTTTGCTGCTAATTGCACAGCTCTTATTTTTCTTGTCAGCAGAGTCACCTTAACTGTCTTGCCCCAAAGGGCCCCACCCAGCCCTGTTTGGTACCACGTGGTTTTCTTTGAAAGGCTTTGCTATAACAGCGAGAATTACTGGGTATCCTTTTCTAAGTAAACAGGAAATATCACTCTGTTAGAAAAAAAAAAAAAAAAAGAATCCCTCTCCTCAGCACAAATGCAATAATGTGCCGGCTTATATTTCCTGTTAATGTTAAATTAGGAGCAGGATCTATTCCCTACACCAGCCCAGTCTTCTGGCTTCTAAGCTTTCCATGAACAGAACCCCAGGGAAGCCTGGCTGCCTACGGCATTCTAGAAATGCTTCCACTGATTTGGGGGAGGCAGTAGCATCACAGGTCAGAAAGATAACAATGTGTTAAAAAAACAAAACCAAAAAAAATTGTGCAAAATCACAAAGGGACAAGATGATATGCTTCTAAATTTTAAGTCACAGCGTGTGTTTATGTTCTGATACTTGATCACCTTTCTATATAGGAAAACTCTGAAGCCTTGAGTCAGGAAGGAGAATTGACCCAGAGCAGGAAGAAGAAACACAGGAAGGATGGCTTTGTTCCCCATTACATCAGAACCTGGGTTCGTGTGTCAGGCAGGCGCAGCCCCACGAGTCCTCCACACACGAGCACAGTAGAAGCCAGCAGGATGGGGATTGCTTTGGTGATGCCGACCAGAGAGCCAAATATTAAGTTTCCCAGCACGGCTGCTGCCTTGCATAGCGCATTTAAGAAGCCGAAGCCTGTTGCCCTGCAAAGGAAAGAGACATGAACAAATTTGAGAAAACGTCTTCCATGATTCCAACTTTAGACAAAAAGTTCCTAGATTTTCAATGCTCTTCACTCAGACTGTATTGTGCATCAGTGGCGCAAATCAATGCTTGTTAGCAAATCTGGAGTTCTCGTGTTGTTCCTCCAGCCCTCTGTTGACTTTCTTACCATGGCTTCCATTGACTCTTACTCTGCCTATAAGTCCCAGTGTATTGTGAACAGAAAGGGAGAGAAAATTGCAGGGAGTATGAAACATCTCTACTGGTTTAATGTTGTTGGAAGGAAGGGTCTTTTTCTTTCTCATTTTTTTAGAGACTAGGTCTTGCTCTGTTGCCCAGGCTGGAGTGCAGTGACAGCATTAGTTGATTGCAGCCTTGAACTCCTGGGCTCAAGCAATCTTTCCACCTTAGCCTCCTGAGTATCTAGGACTAGAGGTGCATGCCACCATACACAGCTAATTTTTATTTTATTTTTGTAGCCATAGGGTCTTGCTATATTGCCCAGGTGAATACGGTGGTACAATGATAGCTCACTGCAGCCTACACCTCCTAGGTGCAAGCGATCCTCCTACCTCAGCCTCCTGAGTAGCTACCTGGGACTACAAGTGTGCACTGACATATTCAACTTTTTTTTTTTTTTTTTTGTAGAGATGGAGGGTCCCCCTACGTTACCCTGGCTGGACTCAAACTCCTGGGCTGAAGCAGTCCTCTTGATTTAGCCTCCCAAAGTGCTGGGATTACAGGCATGAGCCAATGCGCCCTGCAGGAAAGGTCACTTAAATCAAACTTTAATCCTACTCTATCCAAACTCTTCTCTCAGGAACAAAACAGGCATAAGGCACAGTTCTTAGAGAGAGGCAGGTCACCTCTGCTCAGTGTGGGAGAAGCTGGGACACTTTCTTTCACCCCAGGCAAAGGGTGGCGAGGGTGATATAGAAAAATTGACCAGTTTCTCATCTCTTTACAAGAGTGACTTATTATTTTGTTTTGTAAATTCCCATAATTTCAGAAACATCTATGTTTAAACAGAAAGTGAAATTTCATTCCAAAGTTAAAATGTATGGCAGGCTGAGCTTGGAGGATTTCTTGAACCCAGGAGTTTGCGACCAGCCTGGGCAACATAGCAAGACCCTGTCTCTCTTAAATAAAAAATAAATAAAGAAGAAAAAACTGTTGTAAGTACAACAATATATTTATTTACATTTTTTACTCCCTATTTTATTGTATTTATTTTCATGCTAAGTGTTATTATTTATTTATTTTCTATTTTACTTTCAGTTCTGGGATACATGTGCAGAATGCGCAGGATTGTTACATAGGTATATGTGTGCCATGGTGGTTTACTGCACCTATTGACCCAGCCTCTAAGTTCCCTCCCTTTATCCCCCAACCCCCAGTAGGTGCTGGTGTGTGTTGTTCCCCTCCCTGTGTCCATGTGTTGTCATTGTTCAACTCCCATTTATGAGTGAGAATATGTGGTGTTTGGTTTTCTGTTCCTGTATAGGACATGATCTCATTCCTTTCTATGGCTGCATAGCATTCCATGGTGTATATGTACCATATTTCCTTTATCCAGTCTATCATTGATGGACATTTGGGTTGGTTGCAAGTCTTTGCTATTGTAAATAGTGCTGCAATAAACATACATGTGCATGTGTCTTTATGGTAGAATGATTTCTATTCCTTTGGGTACATACCCAGTAATAGGATTGATGGGTCAAATGGTATTTCTGGTTCTAGATCCTTGAGGAATCACCATACTGTCTTCCACAATGGTTGAACTAATTTACATTCCCACTAACAGTGTAGAAGTGTTCCTATGTCTCCACAGCCTTGCCAGCATCTATTGTTTCTTGACTTGTTAATAATCGTCATTCCGACTGGCATGAGATAGTATCTCACTGTAGTTTTGATTTGCATTTCTCTAATGATCAGTGATGGTGAGCTTTTTTTCATGTTTGTTGGCCATGTAAATGTCTTCTGTTGAGAAGTATGTGTTCATATCCTTTGTATACTTTTTGATGAAGTTGTTTTTTTCTTGTAAATTTGTTTAAGTTCCTTGTAAATTCAGGATATGAGACCTTTGTCAGATGAGTAGATTGCAAAATTTTTCCTCCATTCTGTGTGTTCCCTCTGCTTGGTGTGGGGGAATCTGGGACACCTGCCTGTTCACTCTGATGATAGTTTCTCTTGCTGTGCAGAAGCTCTTTAGTTTAATTAGATCCCATTTGTCAATTTTGGCTTTTGTTGCAATTGCTTTTGACATTTTTGTCATGAACTCTTTGCCCATGGTTTTGTCCTGAATGGTATTGCCTAGGTTTTTTTTCTAGGGCTTTTATGGTTTTGGGTTTTACATTTAATCCATTTTGAGTTAATTTTTGTATAAAGTATAAGGAAGGGGTCCAGTGTCAGGTTTCTGCATACGGCTAGCCAGCTTTTGCAGCACCATTTATTGAATAGGAGATCTTTTCCCCATTGCTTGTTTTTGTGAGGGTTGTCAAAGATTAGATGGTTGTAGATGTGTGGTGTTATTTCTGAGGTCTCTGTTCTGTTCCATTGGTCTATAAGTCTGTTTTGGTACCAGTACCATGCTGTTTTGGTTACTGTAGACTTGTAGTATAGTTTGAAGTCAGGTAATGTGATGCCTCTAGCTTTTTACTTAGGATTGTCTTGGTTATTATATGGGGTCTTCTTTGATTCCATATGAAATATAAAGTAGCTTTTTCTAATTCCGTGAAGAATGTCAATGGTAGTTTGATGGGAATTGCATTGAATCTATAAATTACTTTGGGCAGTATGGCCATTTTCATGATATTGATTATTCCTATTCATGAAGATGGATTTTTTTTCCCATTTGTTTGCATCCTCTGTTATTTTCTTGAGCAGTGGTTTGTAGTTCTCCTTGACGAGGTCCTTCACAGCTGTTTTAAGTTGTATTCCTAGGCATTTTATTCTCTTTGTAGCAATTTTAAATAGGAGTTCGCTCATGATTTGGCTTTCACTTGTTTATTGTTGGTGTACAGGAATGTTTGTGATTTTTGCATGTTGATTTTGTATCGTGAGACTTTGCTGAAGTTGCTGATCAGCTTCCTATTTTCTTTTATTAGTTTAATTAATATGCTAGGTCTTAAATAAGAAGAGCCCATAGAATTTTCTGAGAAAATTAGGGAGGATGAAGTTATATCCCTCATCTTTTAGATACTGTGGAGGGCACACCCATGAGCCAATGCAACATTTGGGAAATCAAGTCCAAGAAAATATGACAGAAGAGAATCAAATTGTGGGCTTAGGAAGATCTTGTTCACTCTCTTTGCTGGCTTTTAAGATATGTAGGTGTATAAGTAAAAAAAATCCACTTCTTAAGACATTTTTTAAGAAAGAAAAATTTTATTATCTTTAGTACACATGTAACAAGTGATCTTCTGGGCAGAAAACTTCGTTTTTTTTTGAGAGCAGGTTTCGCTCTGTCACCCAGTCTGGAGTGCAGTGGTGTGATCTCAGCTCACTGCAGCTTCGACCTACCGGGCTCAGGTGATCCTTCCACCTCAGCCTCTGGAATAGCTGGGACCACAGGCTTGCACCACCATGCCCGGCTAATTTTTGTATATTTTGTAGAGATGGGGTTTTTCCATTTGCCCAGGATGGTCTCAAACTCCTGGACTCAAGTGATCCTCCTGCTTTGGCCTCCCAAAGTGCTGGGATTACAGGTGTGAGCCACCAGGCCCAGATGAAACTTAATTTTGTTCATGAGCTTGTATATACCACCGACATCATGAGAAAACATGCATTTCCTTCTGGCTTTATGCCAGTTTAATGTTTTTTGGCCATTACTGAGTTAAAGGCAGATTGAATACAGGGCAATTTTTAGATAACTTTTTTTTTCTTAAGAGGGAAATGCATCTTATAAGCTGCAAAGTGTAGCACTTAGTACACATCTTTCTTTGATTGATTTGTAAATTTGTAAGTGTGGGTTTTATTTGGCAAGTCATAACCACTCATCACTACTTGTACTGTACCTAATAATGGTTCCCACAATATGTGTACTCCTCATAACTGAAATATTTATTGTGGTTATTATCCAACCATTCTCCTTTCTGCACCATGGGAAAGGAATAAACACTCCTCTCTGAGCTGCACAAATCTAGTCTGTGAGTTAGTGCACAGCCAGTGATTTTGCGGGTTAGATCACATCTAATAAAGTGCAGTAAGCACTGATTTTGTTTTTGGCTAAGACACCTAGAAAGTAGAGTACACAGGCTCCTGAAGTGAGGCAAAGTTGCCAACTGTTTGCAACGTAGGAAGAGTGTGACAGAATCTCTGACTCAAAAAACAAACTTCTTGAGTAGAGGGTAAACTAATTTCGTATTCTTCCTCTTCTTTTTTAAAGCAAGAGACTGGTAATGGCAACAACCAGTAAAAAGATAAGGAGCTTTAATATATTGATAACTACTTTCAAATGAAATTGCTTGAGCCTACATGTTGGGTATCAAAGAAGACTTAAGGATACTAGAATGACCCCATCACCGCTTCCCCCACCTCCATGGATATGCTGTGAGGCTAAACTGTCTCTTGTGCTGTTCTTTAGAAAAATGAATAGGTGTTTTCGAGCAGCTTTAGGTTTACAAGAAAAAAGTGAACAAAAACTAGAGTTCTCTTATACCCTCAGTTTCCCCATTAACTTCTTGCATTGGTGTGGTACATTTGTTACAACTGATGAGCCAATTTTGATACATTGTTATTATCTAAAGTTCGATTTACATTAGGGCTCACTCTTGGTGCTGTACATTCTGTGGGTTTTAACACATTTTGATGGCATGTATCTGTAATTATGATATCATGTAGAATAGTTTTACTGCCCTAAAAGTCCCCTGTGTTCCATCTATTCATTCCTCTCTCCCCTCAACCCAGAACAACCACTGATCTTTTTACTGTTTCCACAGTTTTGCCTTTTCCAGAATGTCACAGAGTTGATATCTTACAG